TAAAAGACACTTGGTGTCTATCTGGATATAAAATCGTATCAATAAAGATTACGCACCGTGCGCACGTTCCACTATAACAAAAAAAAAAAAATAAATAAATTAAAGTAATTAACTTATTATAATTTTATTATAACAATGTAAAAAAATTAATAAATTTATATATATATAAAGAATATTTATATATTTTATTTTTTGTAAATATAGAATTATAAATATGTATTTAAAGATTTGTAATTATTAATTATTGTATTATTAATTTATAGATCTTTAATTTATTTGAAATATTAAAAAAAAAAAAATTTAAAAATAATTATTTTAAAAAAAAAATCGAAAATATATATATACAGTATAATATACGTATATATAATTTGATATTTTTTTTATGGATTTCATAAATAAGTTTTTTGTATTTTTTTTGTTAAAACAAAAGATTTATTTTTTAAAAAAATAAACAAGTAAAAAAAATATATATTAAAATAATTATTTATAATTATAATATTATTATTAGTTAATATATTAAAAATATTAATATGTAATATAAACAACACCTATTGTTAATTCTGTTGTTAATTATTATTACCTATATTAAATTTTAATCTTAAAAATATGTAATTTTATATTTAAAAATAATTTAACATTTAAATATATGTATATTTATATTGGAATTTTCTTAATTGCGGTATTTATATTTTAATTTAAAAAAAATTTTTTTTGAATTGCAGATTATCTTTATGCACAATTAAAAATGACTAAATCCAGGTATATCAATAGCGATATATAATAATAATACGTATAAAGTGAATTAGATCATTATAATTGTATTACAACTTAGTTACATATAATTAAGGTTATGAGTATATTACTAGAAAGATTACTCTCAAATAGTTAAAGAATTCTGAGAGCATAAACATTTGAAATATAATTATGATTTAAAACTCATTCCCAATGTTGACTTTCCTCACCCTTTTGACATCTATAAATCCCGCAATCACAGCCGGAACCAGAAAGTAATCGAAATCTCATGTAAAATTCGGATTTCATCAAATAAAAAAGAAAGACATATTCGTAACATAAGCGATGTTTAAATTCTGGTAGCCAATTAGTACTCATAACCTTTGTAAGATAAAGAAAACGAAAAAAAGAGTGGAGCACCTGTCCCCAAAATCTTAACATTTTAAGAAACTATTAAAATTACTATAAAAGGATCCTGTCCTTTGAAGGTCTAAATGTACAGGACTTACTTTTAAAAACTTTTGGGGAGTGAAACAAGAGGTAAAAAAATTATTCACAAAAAAAAAAAAAAAGATAATATAGAACATGCCCGGCATTCGGAAAGCCCTCTGAAGAAACATAAAATGTCAAAAATCATTAAGAATAGGTGAATGTTTTATATTTATAAGATAAAATAACAAAATTGGTGAAACACACCAATATGTACATTGTTTCAATACGGATTCCCATATTTATTTCGCGGGCTTTAAGAAACAAATAACGATAATAATAATAATTAGTAATAGTAATAATAAATAAGTTATAGTGAAACAATAATTGAAACCTAGATATTGAATCACAAAAAGGTAATACATACAATAGCAGCTTTGACCTTTTCAAATTCTTTGAGCATTTTGCGCCTAGCACCGAGAGCTGCAACACCTTTCTTTTCTAATTCAGGATCATCCAATTCAATAATTTCTTGCCATTTCATCCCTTCAAATACAGGTGTATACTTATGTAAACGGAGACTGCGTAACCAAGCAGGAATGTCTAAGTATTAAGAATAAAAGACAAATTAGATTCCTAAGACCCAATATTGTTGAATGGTCAATGTATCATATTACGAACCTTCTAATAAGTTGAAATCAACAGCATCATCATTCTGCTTCTTTTTGTTTTTACCGTGACTTTTTGGAGTGCTATTAATGTTACTATGTGAAGCATCACTGTGGTCACTGTGGTAACCACCTGCTTCTCCATTCTCTTCGCTGTGACCCATGATGTTAGGAGGTGCCAAATGAGTATTTTTTCCACTTCCGGCTGTTGAAGTCCAATTTGAGTGCATAGGGTACAAATTGGATGGATTGGGATTAGGTGAAGATGGGCGTGAACCCTGTCTGACAATAGGTTTTGGACTTGAAATTGGAGAACGTTGAGGTGAACGAATATTTCCATCAGTGTCATACATCGATAAAACAATGTTGGCTTGATTTGAACTATATTTCTCTTCTTGAACGGTGGCAGGAACACCAGGGTTTGATTTTCCATGATTCCGACGGAATTTTTTTACATCACTCTCTAACACAACACGATTTCCAGAACTATTACTCCAGTTGGTTAGCTTTTTATTAACCAATTCTACATCAGCAGCTGCTTTATTTTTATTTTCCGCAAACATTGGTACCACTGGCGTCGAGACCATACTAGCCCAGCTTCCGCCAATAAGCGGTGATAATTCACCGTCAAAAGCACCGGTCCCCCCTGGACGAGGGGAACGCAAAGGAAAACCAGCAGGAGTCCAAGGTAATGTACTTAAATCAGCTGATTTCGGACGACCGTTACTTGTTCTGTCTTTATTATTCGAACCAGTTGTAGAACCAGGCGCCCAAACTGTTTGATCCCCTTCTGACACCATGGACTTTGGTCGGGAAGAGTATAAAGACGTATTACGATTACCAGTATTCGCCTGGAGACGAGCCCTTTGCTGTGCAAGAGCTGCAGCTGGATCCGAATAAATGGCGGCTTCAGGGGATAAGAATTCGACGCCTGAGTGTCGATCATATAAACGACGTGGATATGTCGGACTTGTTGGCGATTTAAGAGACATACCAGCTAACTTGGCTTCAACTTCTGCTTTAGCCATAGCGCCAGCCAATTGTGCTTGCATCAAATCTATAAATCATCAAAGGATAATCAGACCTTGTTTAATTAAATTATCGCATTTGAAAAGTACGATCATGTGTTGGCATAAATCTCATTGATGCAATTAATGCAAAACATTTAATTTTAAATTCAGGAGCTCTTCTATATAGATAATTTCGTCCTTCCAAACGTAAAAATAGGTTATCTAACGAACCTTTCTCGGGATTTGCTGGTGACAAAAGAGCACCCATTGGATCATTTCTTGCCATCTGTTGTAACACTGTTATAAAGAACCGTATTTGTACTTGAGTTGAATGTTGTAGTAAACTATACAACGCGGCAGTCCGCTCAGCCTCAGACAACACTCGAAACCATTGTTCAATGGCACTAAGTTCTTCCTTGAAATTTTGATCTAAGCTGGCAGTTGCCATTTCTTCGAGGGTTTGTTCGTAGTGCTGAAGATCTTCGAACCATTTATCAATGGCCTCAGCTAAATTTATTAATTGCATCGTCGGTATAGATTTGATGGAATGAATTTTTCGCGTAAAAAGTTATAACTTCATTACAAGTGACGTATTAAAAAATAAAATAATGATAAAAAATAAAAGTAATAATATTATTATTACTATTTATTTATTTTTAAGCATAATTACCTTCGGGTGATTGGTATGTATTATGATTGTTTGCGGAGAATATTTCGGAGGTTGGACGAGAAGTCCTATGGTTTGTCGGCTGCTGACCCAAGTGAGAAAGGTCCGCCGACTGCCTATATTGTGGGTTAGATCCAGGTTTTTGTTGAAGATTGAATTGCTCAGATACGGGACGTTGTGTTGCCATGGCGAAGAACTGATGATTTATGTTTGTTAGTTCCTATATCAGAAATGGCCTCTAGATAAAAGACTCGACGATCGGTGACGGAGATTTCTTATATGAGGAAGAGAGTGGATAGGAATATAGAGGTTGGTGGGATAGGGTTGGGAAATACCTCTTTGTCACCTTAACTTATTATGGAATCGATGGCGAAACTCTACAAGAAATATGTTAAGTTAAATTATGGATAAAATTCATTAACAAAGAGGTTAAACTGCGGTGTCGATCGTCAGCTTTGTCTAAGACTATAAATAGGATTTATTTGTTTAAATTTTATTTGAATGCTTCCTGTACAATACAAGATGTATTATTTTGTCATGAGACCACAACGATGAGATTTTTTATTATTACACAATTGCTTATCAATAAATCAAAAAGGAAAAATTACTTTTAAAAATTTAATTTTAATCATTTCTTTGTATCCAAATAATTTGCTATATATATACTTTGTTTAAAAAATCTTTAAACAAATATTTTTTATAATATGACATATGATATTAATTATTTTAAACTTTTTAATTTTTTAAATATAATTATAAAAAATAAAAGAAATTTTTTTTAAAAAAAACAATTAAACTAATTTAAAAAATTATAATTAATTTATATTTAAAACTATTATTTAATATAAACTTATAATTTTATAAAATATAAATTTTTTTAAATTAATTTTTAGTTTATTAAAATAAATTTATATTATTATTTATAATTAAACAAATTATTTGAATATACAAATTGGATTATACTCTATTTTAATCAATTACAAATTACCAATTTCTTTTTCCTATTAATTATTAAATAAGAAAACTTTGAAAAAAAATACTGAATTGATACTAATATCTTATATAACATGGCTATCTCAATGATTTATTATATATATAGAAGTTACATCATATTTAATATTTTATACCTTTAAATTTAATATCTTAAATTAACTAGTTTTAAAACTAAAATATCTATTAGAAGATTAAATAATTTGAAAACTTGCTTAGTATAGTCTATATGTTTATTAAGGAGTTATATTTTACTTGATCATAAGACTTTTAGATTTAATAATTTAAAGTTAATTATAATAATAGTTAAAAACTAAAGTATTTATTAGAAAATATATATTCATATTAAGACTTCTTTGCTATATATATATGTATATATTTATTTATATAGTAAAATGACATTAAATACAGAATTTTATTGAATTAATTTATCAATTTTGTATTATATTATAACAGTTAAATACTACTAGTCTATCTACTTATTGCCCTAGTAATATTAATAATACTTATAAAGTGAATTTATATTTTTAGGAAAAATCTATTTAGAAAATAGAAATCCTATTACTAGTTTTAAACTATCTAACCTATTGGTTCAATTTTGTATAAAAAACAATAGATACTGCTAACTATTTTCTAAGATTACTTATTATATTATATCTTTTCGCTTATATACTGTAGCTAATATAGTAGAAAGGTTTCAATATGAATATATATTTTTTAATAAATGATTTAATTTTGATTCACTGATTAATATTGACTATTAAATTTAGGGACTTTTATAATCAAGCAGAATATGACTCCTTAAGAACCATATAGGTTATATTAAGCAAGTTTCCAAAGTTTTTTATTCCTAATAGATATTTTAGTTTGAAACTGGTTAATATAGATTATCAAATCTAAGGATATAAATGTCAAACAAAATATAACTTCTATATATATAATAAGCCATTGAAGTAACTATATTATACAAAATAATAATATTAGTTTAATACTTTCTTTTAAAATTAAGGATCCTAATGATTCTGTATTCAATTTTATTTGATTTCAACTTTTATAATAAATTTAATAGGTAGATTATAATTCACTTATATTTTTTATATAATATATATATAAGTCTATGTGAGTCTATACAATTTCAATTTTTGAAATCATATTCAAAGTTTTCTTAATTGCTAGTTAATAGAAAAGAAAAGTATCATGTGGGTTTGTTAAAATGGAGTACAGTCCAATCTATATATTTAAATAAGTAATTGAATAAAAACTAATATTTATTTCAATTAAAAATTTTTAAATATAAAGTTTTAAAAAATATTTTTAAATATTGTTATTTAATAGAAATTAAACAATCTAACTAATCACAGGTAATAAAAAATAAATATATTAACAATTATAAAAAACTTGAATTTTTGTTATTGAAATTATCTTTTAATAATAGTTAAAATAAATAATAATAATATATATTTTTTTTTATATATATTTCTTTTATATATATACTTGTACTGTTTTTTTTTTCTTTTATTATTTTTATTTTTTCTTTCTATAGTTTTTACAAAAAGAGGTGACACAATTTAAGTTTATGATATATGATATAGAGGTAATTTGCAGATTTTGATTCTATTGAAAACTTGAATTTTAATCTTATTTAATAAATAACAATATATTATTCTTATAAATTACATCTAAAGATTTTTGACTATTGATAGGTAAGCTAGGTTGAGAAGATTTATACTTTGCATTTATTTTCATATTTATAAAGGTTTTATTAATTTAATAAATAAATGATTCCAGCCTGATTGCAGAATTAAAAAGAAAGTAATAATTTTTAAAAATAAAAGAATTGTTTTGTTACTACCATACAGTATATTAAAATAAAGTTATCCCATTACCAAATAAGAATATTACCGATCTTGACGTCAAAATCAGATGTAACACAAGCACTAAATAATGCGTCGTTTTCTCATCTTTTTAGAAAAAAATGTC